CTTTGCCCCCCCTTTCTTCTCTCTTTCTCTGCCCTCTCTCTCTTGCTTTGCTCTCTCCTTCCCTCTCTCTCTTTCCCTGCTCTCTTTCTCTCTTTCTCTTCCTTCCCTGTTAATCAGACACTGCCACAATAAAGATCTCTTGGTCGCTCCGAGTGTCATGGTCACTTTCCTTTCACCTGTCTCAAAAATAAAAACAGCTGGGTGAAGTGGTGCACGCCTATAATACCAGCAGTTTGGGAGACTGAGGTAAGAGGATTGCAAAGTTCAAGGCAAAAATAAATAAATAAAAACAGGGGCTGGGGAATTAGCTCAGCAGCACAAGCAAAGCCCTGACTTCTGTCCTTGGCCCTGAAAAAAGAAACAAAGGAACAAAAGAAACAAACCATGAAATTGAAAATGTTTTCTTATCTGGGTATGGGGTAAAGGTGGGAGTTCATAACCCACTTGAATCAAAGTGTGGAATATGATATGTCAAGAAATTTGTAATGTTTTGAACAACCCACAATAAAAAATTAAAAAAAAAAAAAAAAAGAATACAAAAAAAAAAAAAAAAGAAAATGTTTTCTTTTTATATTCAATATTTTTATTGGTAGGCAAAGACTTTTTTTATTTGTTATAGTAAATTCATACATTCACACAATAAAACAATATAATTTGATTAATTTCATCCCCCAATCCCTCCCATTTCCCTCCCGTCCCTCCCCCTGTTCCCCTTCTTCTAGTCTACTGGTCTCCCTTTTTTTTTTGGTATTGAGGATTGAACTCAGGAACATTCAACCACTGAGCCACCTCCCCAACCCTATTTTGAATTTTATTTAGAGACAGAGTCTCCCTGAGTTGCTTAACACCTTGACTTTCTTGAGGCAGATTACAGTTATGCTCCACCAAGCTCCACCAATTATAAATTGTTAATTTATAATTTCATTTTATAATCAGGTCTGGTTTCTCCATCACAGTAGAATGGGAGTGAAGGAATAACTCATCACTTCCCTTTGCTCCAAGGAAGAATAATTACTGCTGGCTGCTGAGATATGCACTAAGAGAGCTGTGAGGGGTGGGAACATGGCAGGAGCTGATATTAATCTGTTTCATACAGCCAAACTTCACTTGGAGCAATAAAAAATCATTTCATTAGAAGTTATCCACAGTCTCCTCCCTTCCCCTAATCCTATAACAGCCCTGTCTCTGCCCCTGGGTTCTAGTTGACCCCTTTTTTTTTTTTAACTGCACCGGGATTGAGCCCAGGGGCACTTTACCACTGAGCCACATCCAATATCTTCATTTTATTTATTTTTATGTGGTGCTAAGGATCCAACCCAGTGCCCCACACCTGTGAGGCAAGTGCTCTACCACTGAGCCACAACCCCAGCCCCTTTTTTTACTTTTTTCTTTTGAGATAGGGTCTCCTTAAATTTCTTAGGGCCTTGCTAAATTACTGAGGCTGGCCTCAAATCTGCCTACCTCCCAAACTGCTGGGATTACAGGCGGCCAGCTCTCTGTGACACTTTAGGTGAGGGGATACATAGCCATGTTTTCCTTTTTAGTACTGCGGATATAACCCAGGGGTGTTTTACCACTGAGCTACATCCCCAGTCTTTTTTATTAGTTCTTTTTAGCTATACATGGCTGTATAGTCCATTTTGATAAAATTATACATGCATGGAATATATCTTATTCTAGTTAGAGCCTCATTCCTTTTAATTATTATTATTATTATTAGTAGTAGTAGTAGTAGTAGTAGTACCAGGGATTGAACCGGGGGCACTTAACCCCTAAGCTATATCGCCATCCCTTTTTTATATTTTATTTAAAGACAGGATCTGGCTGAGTTGCTTAGGGCATCACTAAATTGCTGAGGCTGGCTTTGAATTAACAACACTCATGCCTCAGCTCCCC